AAAAACCTTAAAATTTGCATGGCTTATTTCACAAATATGTATTTGATGTTTTACTCAAGACCCTTCAAGATAGTTCAGCTCAAGAACAGTGACCACCAAGATGGCAAAACCCCACCAGCTCAGTAACATTAAACCAGATATATCAACATCGTAACATTACTTTTTACAACAAGTTTTTAAGAAAGTGGTAGGCTTACAAAAGTGGGTAACAAATGTAAGGACAGAAGATGGACTAAGCACTTTTGTTCACTGGCAGTTATTTATTCATGCTTCCAGTAAACCCAAGCTCTGAAGAGTTTATGATAGTGACTAAGTTGTGGAAGACTGCCTTTGAAATCTGATGCCTCACATACATTAAAAAAAAAAAATATATACACACTTTACATTAAATTACTCTATAACCGCTAAGTAATCTTTTCTTGAACTATGCAGCTTTAGGGGTAAGACAAGCATTTTTAAAATAACCAAAACGCCAAAATCATGTTATATTACTGCAGTCACAGGTCATGACCAGAATACCAATTCCACATTAAAAAAATACATCGTATCTTGCTGAGGTTTTGTAAGACACTTACCACAGATGATGGCCGTAATATACACACCTAAAAACAGAGTGAATCAGTATCACAAGAGGAACACATGTGCTTCTTATTCAAACATTATTATAGAAATATTCACAAAGTTATTTCAAATAGATCAAGGACTTCTGTTAACATAATCCTTGTGGCAGCACAGTTTATATCATAACAGTTATTTAACTTAAAATATTCCTATTTTTAAATGGATTTTACCAAAACCTATTTTTCTTATGTCAAAATAAAGACGGAAGTTTGCATTAAATTATTTCTCCTGAATACAGAAGAATGTTTCCCAAGAAGTAAAGCTTCTGTTACATGTACTTTCATTTTAGTGGAAATTCTTGCCATTCATACTTACTTAACTGGCAAGTTGGCACTCCAGGACTCCATTGGTTTTCTCCAATATACTGAATACGAGCTTCACCATGTAATGTGTAGCCTGCGTAACATTCAATCGTAATAAAATCCCCGACAGAGTATGTAGGTTTTTGTCCATCAATTACTCTACCATAATTTATGTTTGGAGTGAAACCAGCACTTGTAGGCCCACCTGGAAGGGGGGAGGGGGGAGAAGAAAAGGAAATAAAATCCAAGAACAGAGCTCATACGTGAAGCAGATTCAAGAAATTGCCATCAAGAAGTCCCTACATCTGTGTATCAGAAGCTCAGTCAATCCTTAAGACATTTTATATGCAAAGGCTTCCTGCTTCCTAGAGGCTGCAGATACTTCTGCTGACGGATATTCTTCAGACACGTTAACAGAAATATACATCTCAGCTTCATTAGGACAAAGAGTTGCATCAAAGTAATGACAACCTCTATTTGTGTAATAACAAGTGATCACATGGTGCAAAGTGAGGCGAGAATAAACTCTGCCATCATCAAAGGAAGAATCTTCAGAAAACACTCCCAAGAACAGATCTTTCACACTGACTTTTGAACTTCACCAATTTCCGTAAACAAAACTAAGATTAAACAAGCACTCCAACCCTGCCAAAAAGTTTCCTCAGTTGCTGAAACTCCACCCCATGACACTCACAGCCCTACTAACATAACCTCTTGGTGCCCTGCCAACAGACCTCCGACTTTCAGGGTCTGCACATTACTATGTCAGATGTTTGGAACTTGGCGCTCTGCCTTTGATTTTACCAATTACGAGTTTTACTCACATGTACAGCTTTTCAAAGAATTCCATGTATCCTGCTGTTGACAAGTTACTGTCATCTCTTCAGTGCCATCAGGAAAAGTACAGTAAGCATTGCACTTAATCTGAACAGACTCTCCTTCTTCATATACAGATTTTGCTGGAATCACTACTCCATGTGTGATCTCTGGGGCACCACATGCACCTTAAGTAATTAATACATCAATTTAAAAGTAAGTTTAGTGATAATAAACTTTAAATACTTCATAATTCATTAACTCACTCCACAAATATACATTGCCTTTGTATGAGAAAAATATATCAGTGTATCTGAACAGTTTAACTTTATCACAGTTTTAAGTACACATTTCCTTTAGAAGACTTACAAGAAACATCATTGTAGATATTCATTAAGGTAATACGACCTTACAATGTAGTAGCTAAGAAATTTGTATTTGTTGGTTAATTATTTTCATAAGCTCTAGAATCATTTCCAGGTGCCTTATCAGGCTCATTCATTATGGAACACCCAAACATACTCTTTGCTGAAGTGGTTCTCATTCTTGGGAACTCTAATGGAGTATGCATGTAAAAAATTCTCTCACTGTACTCTACAACATTCCCTCTCCCTCCAGCACAAAGGCGAAGTAGAAAGGTTACAGAAAGACCTCTGCAATGTCCCCAGCTCTGCAAATTAGGCCTGACTTAACTTGCCTGGTCAAAATCTAACAACATACTACACACCATACATGATGCCCGGAAAGTAAGAGTTGAAGAGCTGTATAAGAGAACATAGACACGTAATGATTTTGATTACTCTAGAAGGACACTATACGTTTCCTCATTGTGCATACTCCTAGTTCTTTCTATCAGAATTCAGAAACACATCTTTTCTCCCGTATTTACATGTGAAATCACTAGAACAAACACCATGATGCTATTACGATGCAGTAGCATCACAGTACGTCCATGTCACAACTTCTATACACGTCTGTAACTCAACTCACTCTCATCTGAAAACTCTTTGGAGTTGTCACTCGAACACCTAAAACGGCTGCCCATAGGTGAGGCTCCATATCAACTTCCTTAGCTTCCGATTTCCAACTACAGTGTCACGATTTTAAATTTTAGTTAAGACAGACTTACAACATTCTCGACATACAAGAGAAGCTGGATTCTTATTCAAAGGCTTACCTTTTTTACAAGTTGGTTTTTGAGACCATGTGTTATTTTCTTCACAGGTAATTACTGGTTGTCCGATCATGAAATACCCTGGATCACACTGAAACACGACTGTGTCCTTATAGCTATAGGAAATTCCAAACCCACTTTGTTTTTTTGCATTTTCAACTTCCGGGTTATCACATTTGACCACTGAAATAGGTAAAAGAAAAACAGCTCTGAAACATCTGTTAACGGTATCTTTGCAACAGACACAGCATCCTTTTACTACTTGTAAGTTTTCTTATCTAATTTCTCAAGCTGTTTTGGAGGAGCTTTGTAAAAAGGCTATTCTCTTGAAGGTGAAGAAGGTCCTTGTTTTAAGCTATCGAGCTGTAACGGTACACAGTCAAATAAGAAATTGTAATAATTGATATAATCACATTCCACTTCCAAAAGACATACTCCTGCACAGTGGCAGAATTTCAGAAAACAAAGTTATATTGATTAGGGTTCAACTGACAATATGCAAGCGTCTGGTATTTCTCCCTATGTCTGCAAAGCAAGACTTTGCGCTTGCTGGGCTTTGCATTTATTTCTGCACTTGCATAGGAGCTGTGTTTAGAAAAAGGGTTCTTCCTTACCTTTTTACTATTCATAATCTAGCTTCCACATTCTTGCTCTTTACACTATTTTTCTTCAGCTACCCAGGCTTTATGGTCTCTCAGTGCCTTCACTTTGTCCTTGTCACTTCTACCAACAGCATGCTCATACATATATTTTTAAAGTTTTAACTTAGATTTTAATCATATTCTGTGTCATTATCAATCAATATCCATAATGCAGTTGATCTGATCTCCACTGGAACTGTATCAAATTCAGTACCAGAGGAAGTGTTTTTTTCTTTTCAACAGGGATGTCCATTACCCCCACCCCCCAAAAGAACAGATGGATATTGAAGTTTTGGAGTCACATAGACTAGAATAAAGAAATCTATGAAAAATCTGAACAACCTCTACATTGTGGAGGTGGGGCACTCCAAACTCCATTAGAGTGTGCATCAGATGTGCAGAAAATAGTAGCTGAGCCAATCAGCGAGAAGGGTTCCGTGCCTCTCGATACATCATCACATGAATAGATCACTGCTGTTCCATAAACATAGCTGGCTGCTTCCATGTAGTGCCCATTGGCTATGCTTGGAGGTGGTTCACAAGGAATTCCTAGAAATAGATCACACAAACTAGTCGACAGAATTTTGCTGTTACCTTGTTCATCTCGGAAACAGCGAGCCTTGATTTTCAAGAAATTTCATTTAAAATCTGAGACATAGCTATTTCTAAGACAAGCTACAGCTATAACTGAGAGTTACTGATGGTCAGTTATTATAGAAAGTCTCAATTTCAAGAAGAGGTTGACTTTAACTAATATGAGCTAATTACCACAATAACTTACATTTTTCAGCAGTCATTCCTCAGGCACATCCCAAGTAATTCCAACAAATAAAAATCAGTCCTATTTTACCATAATTTCTTATACTGCAAAGTTTATGGCACAGCTATTTTAAAATGAACTACCACTATCTGAATCGAAACTTAAACACGGCAGTAATTTACTTACTTTCACAGAAAGGAAGCTCTCTATCCCAGTCAACACCTGTATTCTTAATGGCACAGGTAGTTTCACTAGTTCCATGTAATCTGAATCTAGACAGATAAAAAGTTTTAAAGAGGTGAAACTTAAGGAATGTCTCATTTCTCCAACAAGCACCTAGAAACTTTGTTCATATAATTCTGTTCTGTGATTACCGGGACATAACGTACCAAGTTTTTGTTGTAATGACAATGGTATCTTATTTTTTTTTTTTTAAATTTATTTTGCTAACAGTCTCAACTTTGAAAAAGAAAAGAGAAGCAAATGAGACAGCACTAAAGGAACTGACGGTAGTCTCGCCATTTTAAGATGGGTACTGTCTAATACTAATGCCCTAAAGTTACTAATACTAAAGAAATAAGCTGTAAAAAGGAAAGAGAAGAAAAAACCTCGTGAGAGGTTAGTGCTTTTGACTTAATTTGCTATATACAGAAAAGTGGGCCATTACTCAATATACTAATGAACAGTGATGAATATATATATTTATTCCCTCTGCCACAGAAGCATTAAAAGAAGTCATCAGAGGTAACATTCTAGTTTTCATTCTGCAGAATCTCACTAAAAGCTTAAGCCTTGGTTGATGCAAACAGCAAGTAAAACCATGGAATCAAACCAAATTTAACTGTAATTTCATTTTTTCCAGGTAGAATTCAGGAGACATTTCAAGTCAGAACTGAAATGGAACCTGCATAAGAAAATTTGGGTTTGGTTCAAATCTGGTCTGAACAGAAAAAATGAAAAAGGAATCATTAACTTCACCAAAATACTTACCCTTCTTCACAAGAAAAAGTAGCTTTTGAACCAAATGTAAGATCTGTCACATGAATAAAACCATGTTCTAAATGTCCTGGATGGGTACATTTTCTCTCTAGGGGGAGGGAGAAAGAAAAGAAGAAGAAGAAAAAAAAATCTACATCTTTGTAGTTATACATAAAGACTAAGTCTTTGGCATATACTGCTCTTACCGTCATTAGCATTTTTCAAGCTTCGTTTAAACTACTACAGCATACTAATTCTCACTTGAAAAACAACCAAAATTGTTAAAGATCAAAGGGAAAAAGCAGAAGAGCTCACGCACGCATTACCTGTACAGAACTGCTCTGTGGGTGACCACTGTAAGTCTTCACCACACGTACGAGTTAATGATTTACTGGGGATTCTCATATACCCCGGCCTGCAGATGTACTTCACCTTGGTCCCAACAGGAAAGCTGCTCATTGCGCTGGAGCTGGCCTCGAGCTCTGCATATCGCAGCCTATCTGGAGCCACACATGTGTCTGTCAGAGTAAGAGGGAGGAAAAAGCAATACACAATCTTGTCAACAAGAAGAGATACAACTTGCGCCATAATGGCATAGAAGCCAGGCTAACTCAGTAGGTTTTAAGGACTCATCAGTAAATCAAAGAGGTGATGTTCTTAAGAACCAGAGCTGCCTGTAAATTTAACTAGGTTTCAATTTTTTAATTTATATTTTAATTGCATCCAATGTCCAACTCTACGCTAGCACAGCTTACTTATTCATTTGTTCTCTCACGCTCTTCTTTAGCATTCTACCCAGACAATGCATTTCCTTCCAGTTCATATTTTTAGTCTGTTTGCCTTATTCCTGCAGTTAAACACATGACTTAATTATCTGCAGTAAAATGCCTATTTAGCTTGCTGCAGGAGAAACCAACCAACCAACCATACTCACACAGTTAATTTCCCTTCCTACGGCAAAAGGCCAGGCAGGCCATAAAGGGGAGATTAAAACCACAAAGGCCAGGAGGGGCAATAAAGGGGAGATTAAACCCAGCCACACAACCCAACAGAGACCCACAGACCCAGGGACACTGCGAGGTGCGGTTAGCGCTGAAGACGTAAAACTCCTCCATGCTACAGGGCTCAGAAAAACACGTTCAAGACCGGGCGACCCAGACCCAAACGGCAGATCTGCGCATCTCTGCAAGACTTACACACGACAGAGGCCATCACCTATTAATTTCCTTTCCAATGTGTTTATGTTATCGTTTAGAGG